AACCACTGGGCCAGGAAATAGCCAGTCCCAAGCAGCCAGAGCCCCCATTATTCTTACCCAAACACTACTCCAAGCTCTCTCAGCTCTTCTGTCCCAAAGGCACTTCCTAAGAAGGCTCATGCACCTCCAAGTTTCACCACCCAAAATGCCCCATTCAAAAAGGAAAAGAGAAGCATCATCAGAAGGAGGAGGTGTTCTATTATTGTTTCATTATTAATTGCAGGAATTGTATCTCCATCTTAATAACAATTTGATGAACACTTACTATATGCCAAACACTGTGCTAGGACTCTGAATAATAATGAGTTAACTTATACTGAGCACTTATCTGGGTGTTACGCTCTAGCTATAGTCATTTAAATAGATGGTTTCATTTGATCCTCACTACAGCTCATTTTACAGGTGAGGAGACTGAGGTATATAGAAACTAATAACTTACCCAGAGACATATGACATATAGCTAGTGAATAGTGGAGCCAAAAATATGAAACCAAGAAAATGTGAGTTCTTAACCATTAAGATATAGTACCTTTCAGAGTCCATAGTCTGAAAAGCAAACTGAGGGTTCTAGAGGGGAGGGGGCTGGGGGATGGATTATCCTGGTGATGGGTATTAAAGAGGGCACGTTCTGCATGGAGTACTGGGTGTTATATGCAAACAATGAATCATGGAACACTACATCAAAAACTAATGATGTAATGTATGGGGATTAACATAACATAATAATAAAAAGAAAGATATAGTACCTTTCAACATATATCTGTATGTCTATCTAAATTTCATTTAATCTTAACAAGAACCCTAAAAAGTAGGCCTTGTTAGCCTCATCTGTAGATGAGGCGACTGAAGTTTAGAGACATTAACAACTTGGCCACAAGGTTAGGGATGGAAGGGAATGCAGGCTAGCTGGCTCCTCAGCACATGCTTCTGACATATATAGGATTATATTGGCCTTAGCAGGTAGGACAGCCATTATCCTCCCGAAGCTCACTGTGTACTCTTGGCTTGGCCAGAGCCCCTCTCCTGAAATGAAAGAGGAAGATGGGTTGGAGCCACCAAAATTCATATCACCTGAACGAGGACGTATCAGTATCAAAGGGCTGGAACAGCTCCTCAAATAGATAGATGGTTGGCCACAATTTCTCTAAGTACCAGGAATTCAGCAGCAGCATCTGTTGGGGGTGGCACTTAGTTTTGGGCCTTTGGTGTTCCAGATTAAGATGATTGCTCTGTAAGGGACTAACTGGATCCACCTTTGGATTCATCAATATTCATGGACTTTCTGAGAGCCCAGAGTGTAACTTACTGCAAAATCCGGCACCTCCCAACACTGCCTCTTTCAGGAAGGAAGTGCTCATTGCTCCAGCTGCTGAAAGAGTTGGTAACTGACAGCTCACCGCTGAATCCCTCTCCAAACATTGCCCTTGGCTAAAGAGAGGTACATCATCCACGGTTATGCTTCCTTGGGGGTTAGGAGGACATCCCCTATCTACTGAATGGTTGATTCAGGGGCTTAAAGGCCCAGCCACCTGGTTATAATTCAGGATATCTCAACTGGGACATCCCAGTTCCAGAGGGCCTAGGGTGACCAACCATCCTGGTTTGCCTGGGACTGAGGGGTTTCCCAAGATGTGAGACTTTAAATGCTAAAACTGGAACAGTCTTAGGCAAACTGGGACAAGCTGAATAATACCCTAAGAGACCCCCTTGTAATGGTCTGAGGCCCATCTTCTCCTTTTGCCCAAGGCTAACTCCTTCCCTTCCCTCACAGGTGATGTTTCCAAGAGCATTTCCCAATAATTTCTTATATGCTAATCCCCATCTCAAAGTCTGCTTTTCAGGCTTTCCCTAAAACCTGAAAGGTTTCCCCTAACACCTGTGACACCAGACTGTAGAGGAGATGCTAGAGGGTACTATCTCCTCCTGTAATTTCTCCTCCTTCCCTTACTTGCTTAAGGACCCATAGGAAGAATCTGGAGAGATGGTGCCAAAGATGATGAACAAAATGAAGCTAACTCGAATTATAGCCAGATGCTGAATTCCAGTATCTCCAGTAGCTTAAATCCATTTGTCAGAGATGAAATCATAATATCTGAAACAGACTGAAGTAAAGCTGACCTGTGCTATAACGAATGCTTCTAAGTTTAATTTGTGGGAAAATCTATTCATATTGAAAGAAATTCTGAAAGACTCTACCCCACAGTCTAGTCAGTCTTTCTGTCTGCCCCTCCCCCCACCCCCGCAAGCTTTTTGCTTTTGTCAGGGCTACTCCCTTTGCCAGAACTTTTAGCTAATAAAAATATGTTTGCTGAGCCTGACTCCCTGAAGCTGGATGCAACATTATTGAATTCTAAATTTTGTGTAACGTGGGCTATAATCAAGGTGGAGATCCTTACCGAAAAATAATTAGCTTTGGGGATAGAAAGCTCAACAGAAGCATAATAATTAAATTGGTTCTCTGTTTTTATTTTATTGGGAACACTAAGCTATATTGATCTCCTTTCAAACCAGATGCTGATTCATGCAGCCGGTTGCAAATCTTTGCTGAAGTGCTTAGGGAAAAAGGGATAAACTTGAGAATTCCACCCTAGTACTCTAATAGATTTTGGAAAATTCCAATACTTGGAGCTTCAATGTGCCTGGGTTGGGGGGCTGAACTCCTCCAAGTGGAATGACTCAAGTGGAAGATGCTGGTCCTTTAAATATCTGGTGGGTCTCCCAAAATGGAGGGAAAATCTAAGAGAACAGAATGTGTGTAGAGTTTCAGTTTTGCAAGATGAAAAAGTTCCAGAGATCTGTTACACAACAGTGAATATGATTAAATACTACTGAACTGTACAGTTAAAATAGGTTAAAAGGCTCTAGTGAGGAGATCTAGGCCAAGCCTGAAGTAGCAGATGACCTACTTACTGGTTCTGCTTATAGCTCAGACCTGATCCTAACAGGAGGCCTGAGGAGAAACCGTGGAATTCCGAATGGCTCCCACTCTCTCTAGATGATTCTCCCAGGCCCACTCTTCTTCCTAATATTCTGACCTTCAGACCTTGATTGCCAAGAGTATATCTCAACTGTTACTGTTCTGTTTTCATCTCTCAGGACCACCCTGCTCCTGTGCACCCCACTGAATGTGCCCCCTCCCTGTCTAATGGCCTTTTCTTGGCCTGGCATTTACCTTGTGTTGGATTCCCTGTGTCCATCTATATACTGAGCTAGAGGCTACCAGCAGCTCATGCTTTCCTGGCCTTTCAGAAGGGGGTTCTCTGCCTGAAATGTCCCCCTCTCATCCCCAGGAAGTTAGACATACCCTCTATTTCATTCCCAAAGCCCCATTTGGACCCTGGCCATGTTCCGTTATAATTTTGTGTTCACATTATATCCGCTCACATTTTTGTCTCCCCAGCTAATACCAAACTGTGAGCAAGCTGAGGGCTGCAACTCATATGTAGCTGACTAGAAAGCTATTTTATTTTTATTTCTATGATAACACAAGTAGTTAATTTTTAATTTCACAGTTTTTGACAATACTGATAAAAATGAGTTCATTCTGAGAAAGAATCTGGTTGGAGAGAAAAAGATTTTATTGATCGAGTACTTATCAATTTTAGAAGTCATTGTTCTGATTTTTTTTTTTAAAGATTTTATTTATGTATTTGACAGAGAGAGACACAGTGAGAGAGGGAACACAAGCAGTGGGAGTGGGAGAGGGAGAAGCAGGCCTCCCGTGGAGCAGGGAGCCCGATGCAGGGCTCGATCCCAGGACCCCGGGATCACGACCCGAGCCAAAGGCAGATGCCCAACGACTGAGCCACCCAGGCGCCCCGTTGTTCTGATTTTATATATAAGAGTCTAAAAGTTATTAAATGATTGCTGTGAGGTAATTTTATTGATTGTGCCAAGCGAAAAGTATAATAGTCTTCCAGCATTTATCTACTATGGAAAATCAGTCTTCTAAAAAATAAAAGGCTTGTGTTGGATTACTACATTATATACCTGAAGCTAATATAAAACTGTATCTTATATGAGTTCTAGCAGTTTTATGATAGTGACTTATTTATAACTGAAAGCAAAACATACTATCCAATAGTTCATTCAATATGATGTCTTCTTAATAAAGAAAATGGCATATTTAAAAAAATTATATCTTACTAATTGGAATTAAAATAAAAACTTTAAAAAATAAAAAATAAAAGGCTGGTGTTAGTGTAAATAAATTGGCTGTGGCACAAAATGATTTCTTTTACTGTCAACGTGCTTTATCCAGTCTCCTTTTTATTTATGTCACTCTTAACTAAATGCACTTCTCAAAAGAAAACAAAAAACAAATCTATTTGCTGTCACCTTCTTTTAGCTAATTGTTGACATGAAAGCTGTCAATTCCAAAGAGAGCTAAAGCTTAACATTTCAAAGAGTAGAGAATGAACTAGGGAGAGCATAAGATTTTTTTTAACTTCTACATTTATCAAAGTTATATTTCTATGTGCGAAGTTATAATATGCATAACATGCACGTGTTTACAGACTTATATAAAAACCACGTCTGCCTTGCCGTTTGCCCCCTTCCAGAGAAAATCACTTTCTCCTCTTCTAATTTATTTTTATTTAACTAGTCTATTTCTCTAAATAAAATGTTTCTCTTAATAATTGCTGCTTCTTATTTTTTCAGCTCAGGCATAATTAATTGACTTCCTACTGTGGAAAATGAGCATTTAACATCCTCCCCTCTCCTCAGTGTTCCTATATCTTAATTCCAGTTAGATCAATATTGTTCTTTACCTTTTTATGGCTATATAAATACTGTATGTGGGTGTGCTTTGTAGTCAAATATGATTACTTTTCCTTTTAATCACCTTTGATTCTCTTGTGATTAATAATTACCTCATGTTTGCTACATACTGAACATTAAACATTAATTAAATTCCGTATTTTCTGGCAAGTGTCTGAATCTCCTTTCAAGAGGTCCAGTCACATCAACTGTTTTTGTGATGTTCATTTTTCTTTTAGAAATACCTCCCAGTGCTTTTCCATCTGTGCTACTCTGGATACGTTGCCGTCTTTGCCTTTGCCAATGTGAGCCATGCAACCATGCTGAAGAACATCTTTACCTCTCTCCTGTGTTGGATCTCCTGGGTCCTGTATTCAGGGATTTCTTCATTGGTAAAGCACACCCTGCAGTGGTGCCCTAATAGAGTACGCAATGGTAAGTTTTTTAAAACCTTATATGTCTTCCTAATTGACTGATAATTTGGTTCAGTATAGAATTCTAGGTTGGAAATCATTTTTAAAGCATTGTTCCATTTTCTTCTCACTTCCAGCAATGTTGTTGAGAAGTCTAAAATTATCCCAATTCCTGATCATTAGTATATGACCTATTTATATTATCTCCATCTCTCTCTATTTATATATCTCTCTTTCTCTATCTCTATCTCTCTTGACTTGTATGTAGGACCTTTTAAACCCAGGATCCTGAATTTCTTGATGATGGGTCCTAGTGTGTGTTTATTTTTATCTGTTGCCCTGTTTGCTTTGTGAGTTTTTTAAAATTTGGAAACATATCCCTTTGATCCTGAACATTTTCTTGAATTATTTTATTGATGATTTTTGCCTGTCTATTTTTTTCTTTTTTCTCTTTTGGAGCACCTGTTACTTGGATTTTGGACATACTGGACTGGTTCTTTAATTTTCCTTTCTCTCTGATTTTTCTATCTCTTTATTTTTTTAAGTTACTTTCTGGAAGAGTTTTGGAAATATATCTCCTTATCCAGCTATTGAGGTTTTCATTTGTGCTACCATTAAAAAAAAATTTAAGAGGCATAGTCATCTTCTGAATGTTCCTTTTTAATAATACCCTGTTCTTCTTTCATGCTTGCACTATTTTCTCTGGTGAGATTAAGGATAAACTTTTAAGGTTTCCATTTTTTTAATTGTCTTCTCCCTACCTAGGTACTGTAACCTCTAACTCGTTTTTTCTCTGATGGGTTCTTTTTGGTTTCAATATTTTATATTAGAGGCTTTCCTCAGATACCTGGAATTCTTGGTGTCTGCTCCTGTTTAAGAGTGTGGGATTAAATATCTAATTGGCAGCTCTGGCCAATCAGAGTCCCCCATCTCCCTGGCTGAGTGATTAGCTCAGGAATGAGCATATTCCTGACACAGGTCACAGGTCAGTTTAATAAGTATCTTCCTTTGATGTTTTAAAAAAAACTACTTCCCATTCCTGGTGTTACTAAGCTAGCAGGACATGGACTTACTGGTGTCATCTTGACCAATGCATGGGAAGAACTTTCAAGAGATGGAGAGACAGACAGAATGTAGATAACATCTCTTAAAGCCCTGAATTTGATTAATTACTTAACTTCTCCATACCTTCAGCCACTATAGACCCCTGGGTTTTTTTTCTGCTTAAATTATTTTGAGTTGGGTTTCTATGATTTAAACTTAAAGTTTTTTTGACAGATACATTTCACCATGTTTCTATGTCTGATTAAAAATAATATAATTTGTGCCACCTACAAATGCAAAGGGTTATCAACTATTGATCATTTCCTTCAGCTTTCTCAAAATGGCTTATATGTCCTGTGAGTACCAATGTGTCATCCAGTCCAATATATAGTGACATTGAGAATGGGGGAATGGGCCATAAAAATATCATCTACAAGTAACAGTGATGATAAATTCACGTTTTCTCTGAGGGCTATCTCCTCTCCTTCAAAGCTCTCATTCAGTTCCAGGCTACTTAAATATGGAGAAATTGTGTCAAAGGTTGTTCTAGGATTTCTTATTTTTCACTTTCATTGATTTCCTCCTGATAGTCTAGGTATTATATCTCCTCTTTGGAGTTTTCTGTACTTAGCTTGTTTGTGATAGTGATGTGAACATCCCTTATTCATAATGCCCTTGTTTCCCAGATGCACCTATTCTTTTTTTTTTTTTTTAAGATTTTATTTATTTGACAGAGAGAGACACAGCGAGAGAGGGAACACAAGCAGGGGGAGTGGGAAAGGGAGGAGCAGGCTTCCCGTTGAGCAGGGAGTCCAATGCGGGGCTTGATCCCAGGACCCTGGGACCACGACCTGAGCCGAAGGCAGATGCTCAACGACTGAGCCACCCAAGCGCCCCAAGATGCACCTATTCTTAATCTTGAAATTTTTACACAACCATTTTAAGACTCAGATTGCTTACGCAATTTCTGGTTACTCTTTTTAGCAGGTGGGAAATAACTTCTCAATTTGAATGCTACGTCTATTATTTAGCAAATTCTGGTTTAGATTCCTCTAACATAAATGAGAATTTAGAATACCATAATGATACTTGCTTTTTTCTTAAGCCATGGCTGAATGTAAAATGCCCTTTAGCTTTTCAGTGTTTCTAAAGATAGCTCTCATAAACTTCACATTCCTGCAAAATCAGGTTGCTTTGGAAAGCAGATACAACTCTGTGTCTCACACTGCTGTATCCATAGGGCCTGATGCATTTTCTATGTCCATAAAAAGAAGCCACAGAATAATGACTAATTTTACTAGGAAACAGTTTTGCCTGTCAAAAATACTTTTAGAGATTTGGTAATCAATGTGCCTAATTTTGAAAACATTGGGAAAATGGTTTATCATATTTATTAGTCAGTTCCATCACACATGCGCCTCTGGGCATGCTTACAGGATACTAGGGCTGGAAGAGAGAGAAAATCATTCATCGAGTTTCATGCTCTATAGTATTATAAAAGCAAGAAATAGGCTCTTATCTCAGAACCAAGAGCTGCTTGTGGGGCCTGAATTTTAAAATAAGGAGTGGGGTGTTCCCCAAGAGAGACAATACATTTGGAGGCTCTAGAGAGAAGAACCAGGTATCCTTCAAACATAATCACTTGATCATTAAGGCCTCCAAAGGACTCTTCAATCCTTGCCTATCTTTCCTCCTACCCCCCTCTTTTTCTATGGGATCCATGATTTTATCCCAGTTTTCTTTTTTTACCTTTTGTTAATTTTTCCATTTTGAATATTTCTACTTGCTTTCTCTCCCAAAATATGGCTCTACAGCTAAACACAGTCTGATTATTTTTTTCTTTGAGTCTTGTTTAATTTTAAAATACTTGCTAGCTTTTCAGTCGTTTGATCTGGTGGCAAGTACAGTATGCATCTTAATTTAAGGACAACTTGCTATTATCACTACAGTGAAACAGATAAGGAATGATACATAAGCACATACACACATTTAATAATTGAGACAGACTCCAGTCTAAAAGTTTCCATTACCTTTTCTCAAGGATTCTGGAAAGTATCTCTCCCCACTTGGACAATATCCAGAAGGTAGAACAATGAGACATTTAAAAAAATCCATACCTCCTTCTTCCTCTAGCTCGTAGAAAGATTGTTAGAGTGTGATCTACAAAACAACGTCAAATTCCTTATCTTTAGAAAACAAAATGTCCCCATGGAGTCTGGCTGTACAAAAGAAGCAGGTTCAGGGACGCCTGGGCGGCTCAGTCAGTTAAGCATCCAATTCTTGGTTTTGGCTCAGGTCATGATCTCAAGGTTGTGGGATCAAGCCCCACCTGGGGCTCTGTGCTCAGCGTGGAGACTGCTTGGGATTCTCCCTCTCCCTCTGCCCCTCTCCCTGGTCATGCTCTCTCTCTCTGAAATAAATAAATAAATAAATAAAATATTTTTAAAGAAAAGAAGCAGGTTTGGGGTGCCTGGGTGGCTCAGTCGTTAAGCATTTGCCTTCAGCTCAGGTCATGGTCCCAGGGTCCTGTGATCGAGCCCCGCATCGGGCTCCCTGCTCGGTGGGAAGCCCGCTTCTCCCTCTCCCACTCCCCTGCTTATGTTCCCTCTCTCGCTGTGTCTCTCTCTGTCAAATAAATAAATAAATAAATCTTTAAATAAAATAAAATAAAAAAATAAAAAAAGAAGCAGGTTCATCCACATCACATTGTTCTTATTTTTCCTAGTGGCCCAAAGGCAGAGGGTTTCTAGTTCATGATCATGAGGCTACAATTCTAAAAATATGTTTTCCTTGAAGTGACCATGTGGTGCTTAATAAGAGCGATAGCCTTGACATCAAGAGGCTATGTTTCTAGATTTATAAAATTTAGATTATATCATTTTAAGGTCTTTTCCAGCTGTAATATTTTATGTTGTGTATCAATATAGCTGTGCCCTCTTGGAAGAATTTTCTCTCTTTTTGTTCTTTTCATTTTTGAAAGAAAATGCCTTATTTTGTGAAAAGATCTTTGTGAAACCCCCACTTTATAGAATATGATAAGTCCCTGTCCTTCAATCCCTCCATTATACCTCTCTCCTTCCGGGGATAGTGAGAAGGTTAAATCGACTAAACCTTATAATTCTAAGCTTTCTTGGCTTAATATTATTACATGGGGTTAAGAACTCTGAACAGCTCTATAGACACTCTCTCATCTTGTTTTTCCAAGAGGATTTTATTCTTGACCTTCAAGAGTTGAAATAATTTGAAGATAAAATGTTGAGGATTTTGTAGTAACTATTTCTCTACACCACAAATGGTTTTCCTCAGCACAGAGCTTTCATTAGGGAACTTCCAGTATAATGGTGAACATCCTCACAGACAAACATTTTGACTTTCACTCTTGGGATGGTGTACGGGGAGACATGAGCTGGATTTATGTTTCAATATTAGATAAGTTCTGCTAGACATTTTTTTCCTTGAGGTTAAAACCACTCTAACCTGGGCGCTTGAGTTTTATTCTTCTCTGAAATCACTCTCATAACCAGTTTATTGAGAAGAGGGTATAAAAATGATTGGATTTATTTTTCCTTCAATCACTACTTTCAGCCATGTGCTATCATATCTCCCTTTTATGGAAGATAGTGAATCACTTAATGCATATCTTGGAAGATTCCACTACCTTCTGGTGGCTTTCAGTTACTTCAAGACCAGCCCAGGTTAAAACTTCAATCTCAGACTTGATTTATAACTCATTTCCTCCATTGCCCACAACATAAGTTTAAGCTGGGACAATGACTGCCGCTAGTGGGAAGAGCTTAATGAGCTCTGAAACATGGTTTTTCCCACTCCACTTCCACAACTAACTCTAGAGAAAGGCAGGCAGGAAAGACAAGGAAGAAGACAAGTGCCTCTTGACTTAAAGTGGCTGTTGTCATAGTGTCCCTGGCTAACACTCTCGGATCGTTGATTCCTCTGTGGCAAACATCTGAAGAAGCCACA